GCATGCACACGCGCCAGCTGCCGTTCCAAATCCGGCATGCAGTCCAGGTTGAAGTAACGAATGTCGTCAATGCGCTCAATGTCTTCAATGGCGTCGTACCGGTTTTCAATCCCGCTTTTCTGCCTCAGGGGATGGCACAGCCAGGTCTTCAGGTGCCGGGTGCCAAACGGTGTCTTGCAGTGATTCACTAAGCTGAAGAGCGTCCCATCTTGGCCTGTGCTTGTACGAGGGCGGCGTTGTTGTGAGTGCTTTTAACTCACGATTTAGTTAGCAAACCCAGACAAAGTTGTCGTGAATTATTTTATCGACAGTAGTGTTGGTCAACCCCCACTACGTGGAATTGTGAGCGCTTATAATCGACGGCAGTCGATGCAAATAAGACTTGGATATTCTCCATCTTGGATGTGCCACACATTAATATCATAAACTTTGCAGAAGCATATGCACATCGTATAAAATGATGTATATCTGTGTATTTACACGCACGGCCGAATAACTGTATGAACGCCAGCCACTCTAAGACTACAATAGAACAAAGGGTGCATATGTTCTCAAACCACTCCTAAGTGTATACCAGCCCCCTCACCTCTCGAACTATGGGAATATGAAGGGCATATCCACGCCTACACCACATCAAAGCATTGTGGAAAGACAGCGTACACTAATTCTCATTCCACTCTTACACTATGCAAGTACGAACCTGTTCCCATGTTGTTCTCCAATACTTCCAGATTCTTCAGTGTCTGGCCGTCCATCAACAGGGACTTGCCCTGCGGAGGGCGTAGATGGAACGGTTGTTAAGGCTCATGCAGGTAGGCAAAAAGAGGTAGGCAAATGGAGGTAGAATTGTGTACGTGGACATTGTATGGAACCACCCCATTGATGAAAAATGCTGAGAAATATTGGCTGCAAACGCTATTCATGTTTGAGGTTGGATGTATATACAAGTCGGGTAGACCACATGAAATTTGTGATCCAGAATCCAATAGGGCAATAACTTATATTTCGTTTAGGTAGTTTAGAATCTGGAAATCGGCGCAGAGAGAACCAAATACCTCGGTAATATACACATCTACACATGCGTGTAAACCTATATCAGTACATAGGTATGTATACATTACATAATACATAGGTATGTACACATAACATCCATACATAGGTATGTATACATAACCCAGACCTAAGGGCTCGTACATGATTCGCTCATAGGCCAAAACTTGCTCAACACGGTTCGATACCAGCCATAAGTTTGAAAGTTCGATACTAGCCATAAGTTTGAATGGCACTGCCGCCACTGAAACGTACAGCAAGGCTCGGGTGTAGATGGGAGACTTGATATAAGCCACTCTGGGGACTCGCGCGCGTGGACAGCAACAACACCTCACACACACTCCATGTGACAATATCGCACGCCACTCTCGGAAAAGAGTGCGTGCAGGACACCCGAATGCGCCTGCAGTATTGTTTGTGGTGCACACACACTGCTGCTGACAAGCAGCTTGTATCACGTACAGCCAAGTATCTCCCAAAACAAGTATTTTCAATTCCCAAGAGTAGGTATATTCTTATACAGGCATAATAAACACATCCATGTATAAACATATGCATACACAAAGCAAATGATCACGTGCATATACCTTGTTCCAGTTGTATAGATTAGAGTGATTATTTGTAGCTAACCATACCTGCCGCATCGGGTCGTAGGCAGTAAAGTGACCATGGGAAAGCAACTCCATATCCAGTTTTAAGGTGCCGAGATAAAACGTCAGTCCTCCCAGAGCACTCATGACTAATTCTTTGTCTGTCCATTGGGCCAGAATCTCGGGCCAGTTGCCGCTAGAGTCTAAAAATAGAATTCAAGTGCCGGATCAAGCATCTCTTTAAGTTCGTTAAACTTGGAAGCAAAACCGTGACCTTACCTATAAATCGAAACATTGTCTCTCTCCGTGCATTCTGATTTGAGTAGCGAGTGGGCGAGTAGGTCTAACCGCTCGCGGAAGTCGGCAAAGGTTAAACACGCGCGTCTAAATAGGGTCCCTAAAACTACGGACCCTCCTACACGTTCTCGTTCTTCCCCCTACACCTCCGGTACCCTTATAAATTTATAAGAGATCTCCCTAGAACTTCACTTTGAGCCTAAAATAAATGAATTTTTGGATCTGTGTTGCCAACCAATACTCACGTTAGAGTTATTGTTACAGCAGCATACCAATGTTAGTCATTTTTTTAAAATAATATATCAGAGGCCAGCTTTGACTTGGCCTTGATAGTTTTAGGTACTACTCTACTTCTTAACACATGATAGTGCGAGATTTGATTTTTAAGGTTTGGGGTGGCTGAGGATCTCGTCACAATTCACTTGATCTCATAATTATAAGTGTGCGACTATATATTGCCACACACCATGTCCTGCTTTGATACATGCATACCCTCTGTATCTGCGGCCTTGTCATGTGTAAAGAAGCCCGTGCCGAGGATCTCGTTACTGTACATTTACAGTCTCACAACTATGGGTGTACGACTATCTACTACCGAATACGATGTACTGCTTTGATACATACATACCGTCTGCATCTGCGTTCTTGTTCTTTGTAAAGTAGCCGGTGTGTTTGAGGTGGCTGATGGTCTGTTCAGCATCGTAGAATTCGCTGGTGGGTGCTATGACGTTGCTGCGTTAACGCGAACAGAGTCGCAATAGAAAAGGACAGATCAACCAAAACGTAAGCGGGATGACGGCAACATGGACATGGACATGGACAAACGTGCCTATACGAGTGGTCTGTACAAGTACCTTTGGCGTGTGGAAAATGTAAATGTTTGCCTCGATAAGAGTCAATCATGCATCAAATCAGCTCAAACACGGCAAAAGTGACCATACCAACAAACAATGCCAAGGTCATATATGAAAATTCGCTCAC